CGTGAAGCACTCTTTCACCTCCACTTGCGCCATGGATCGTCAGCGTTAGAGGCACAGGTGAGCTGACAAAAGCTTGGAAACTAAGTGTTGACGATGTGCTCTTTGTTGTTTTGGCAGATCAAAGATTTTGTGAAAGACATACAGTCCGAGCTCGACAAGCCTGGCATCAACTCTTTCGGGATTGGTGATTTCAAAGCTCCGAAAGTCCTAGGGGACATTCTAGAATCTATAGCCGGTGCAATATTTCTCGACACTGGTCTGGCCGCTGATGAAGTCTGGAAGGTAAGCTCGTTTACAATTCTCTGGTGCTCGCTTGAAAACTAGCATTGTCTTCCAGGTCTTCGAGCGCTTGCTCGAGCCAATGGTAACTCCAGACACCTTGCCGGTTCATCCCGTGAGAGAACTCCAAGAGAGATGCCAGCAGCAAGCCGAGGGACTGGAATACCGGGCCTCGAGAGAAGGAAGCATTGCGACAGTGGAGGTGTTCGTGGATGGCGTCCAGATTGGCTGCGCACAGAACACACAGAAGAAGATGGCGCAAAAGCTGGCTGCAAGGAACGCGTTGGCGGCGCTCAAGGAGAGGGACTCGCTTGAGGAAGAGAGCAACAAGGTGACCAAGATGGAGAACGACAAGGCCAACGCTTTCACAAGGCAGACGCTCAACGACATTTGCTTACAGCGGCAGTGGCCAATGCCGCAGTACAGGTACTGTGAAGCTCTTCACTCTTCCCTCCTTATCGATTTCCTTCCTCTTTGGATTAGATCGATTTCTCTGACGAGATTTTGGAACTTTGGTTCGTGCTTTGACAGGCTGCTGAGCGAGAGTGGACCGGCGCATGCCAAGAGATTTACTTACACAGTGCGTGTAAATACGAGGGAGCGCGGATGGACTGACGAATGCGAAGGCCAGGCGATGCCCAGCATGAAGAAAGCAAAGGACTCGGCGGCCTTGGTTTTGCTAGAGGTACTCAAACAGTGGGACGACATAAAGGCACCCCTCAAGCCCTAATTTTTAAAAATTTAAATTCAAATAAGAATATGCTCTCCTAAAACCCTAAGTTTTATTTCAAATAAGGATATGCTTGCTAATGTCGCGGAACTCCATCGTCTCGTCCCTGCGGCAATGCGGGGACGCGATCGCGGGCAGGGCGATCCACGCGCGGATCCTCGCCGGTGGCTTCATCGGCGACACCTTCCTGGCGAATCTCCTCATCCAGATGTACGCGCGCTGCGGCAGCGTCGGCGAGGCGCGCGCAGTCTTTGATCGCCTGGCGCGGAAGAATCTCTTCTCCTGGACGCTGATGATCGCGGCGTATCACGACTGTGGATCCAGCGGCGACGCGATCCTCCTCTTCCGGGCCATGGCGCTCGACGGCGGATCGCGCCCCGACGCCGTGCTGCTCGTCACCGTCCTGGGCGCCGTGGCGGCCGCGGGAACCCTAGCGCTGGGCGAGGCGATCCACGCGCAGATTGATGCCGCTGGTGGAGATCTCGACGTGTTCGTGGGATCGGCGCTGGTGAGCATGTATGGGAGGCGCGGCAGCGTCGATCACGCGGCCGCGGCGTTCGATCGCATCGAGGAGCGTAATATCGTTGCCTGGAACGCGATGCTCACGGTGTATGCCCAGGCCGGGGATCCAGCGCCAGTGCTCCAGCTCGCGGCGGCCATGGATCTCGAAGGGCTGGATTTCACGGACGTGAGCTACATTTGCATCCTCGAAGCCTGCGCGCTCCTCCGATCGCTCCCGCGAGCGCGATCGATCTTCCAGCGGGCGCTGGCGTCGGGTTTGATCGCGGTGTTTCCAGCGGTGGGGAATTCCGCTGTGGACGCGCTGGCGCGGTGTGGCGGCGTGGAGGACGCGCGGTCGGCCTTCGAATCCATCGACTCCAAGACGGTGGTGTCGTGGACGGCGATGGTGGCGGCTTACGTCCAGCACGGCCGTGGCGGCGACGCCATCGCGATCTTCCGGCGGATGGACTTGGAGGGATCCAAGCCCAACGAGGTGACGATGATCAACATCCTCGGCGCTTGCTCCGCCCCGGAGGATCTCGCGCGGGGGAGAGCTCTCAGCCGCCGTGTTCTTGTCAGCGGCCATGGCGGGGGAGTGATCGTGTCCAATTGCCTCATCGGCATGTATGGGCGATGCGGGAGCTCGGCCGAGGCGCTGGCGATCTTCGCCGCGATACGCGAGAGATCCACCGCGTCGTGGAACGCGGCCATAGCGGCAGTGGCGAGAGAGGGCGATTGGAGCAGGGTGTTTGAGCTCCATCGCGAGATGATAGGCGAGGGGGTGGCGCCGGACGGGATCACTTCCACGCTGGTGCTCTACGCTTGCAGCCACTCCGGATCGGTGGAGCAAGGCTGCTGCTACTTCACGCTGCTGGGACAGGACTTTGGGATCGATCGAGAGGAGGGGCACTACAGCTGCTTGATCGACATGCTTGGCCGGGCGGGGAGAGTGAGGGAGGCGGAGGAGGTGATCGAGGAGATGCCTTGCCCGGCGAGCTTTGTGGCGAGCAAGGCTTTGCTTGCGGCTTGCAGGACCCAGAGCAACGTGGAGGTGGCGAGGAACACCTTCCAGCTCCAGAGCGAGTCGGCGTCCTACGTGCTGCTCTCGGACTTATTCCGGCAGCTCCAGAGGAGAAGATCTCCTTGTAAGTTTTGCTCGTGATCAGTGGTTTTGGTTCACAGGAAAAATGTCTAAGATCAGTCATGGATCGAAGGTACGAATGCCGTGTAAAAATCTCTTTTTTACTCTGTTCATACAAAAGCATTTCCCATTCCAGACTAGCTACCCTGTGCTCGTAGGAACTTCCACAGAACGATCATCCCAAGCAGTGAATTCACATCATGGCAGCGCGAAAGGTCGTTCAACTAACGTCAGTGATGAGATCTCGAGCTTCTCTCGCGAGAATGCGAGCGTTCATCCCTGTGCCTTCGCTCGTGGTGTCTCCCGTGCCTCTTGTGTTCCTCTCTCCTCCTTTTATCGTCTTTTCTATGGCGGTCTTCTTCCGTTTGTTCTTCGTGACGCGGTCTCTTGTCGTGCCGGTCCCGGGCTTCTGATTTTCTACGTGGAAGAGGAGGCACCTGACAAAGAAACCATCACTCGCGCTTCGAGAATAGATGGCTCTAGCGTACCTGATACCGCGACATATAGTTCGATGGCTCTGGAATTCCCAGTTTCTTCAGCTCCTCGCGAGGGATATTTTCGCGTCTGCAAGATAGAAAAGGAAGTGGTTATTGACGCAAGAAGCAAATCCCGGTGACTTACAGCGGAGCACGAAATGGACGATCGCGACCGCCAAATCGTAGTTGCCCGGATTCCTTTTTGCCTCCTAAGCCTCCTCCTGCAAGGATGGACAATATCAGAACGAGAGAAAATGTAATTGTTGATATTTTTTCTCAAACTCACCAAGTCTGCGCGGTATCCATCCACGCATAAGCTGCTGCCGATTGTAGTCGACGATGATCTGGTTCCCATCAATGGTGATATTGTGGGCTGCCTGGAGAAAGGAGAAAAAGAAGCAAGATGGAATCAATCACTGAAACAAAAAAACCAAATAAAAACGAGAAGTTCCACCTCGTAGGCATGTAAGAAATCCTTTTCGTTCTCAAACTCTACAAAGGCATAGCCCCGAGAAGCTCCGGTAACTGCATTCTTGTAAAACACCTCGTCTCTTTCATGGGATCGAACTCACCAATATGGCGGACAAGTCTCATGCTTTTAACAGTCCCATATTTGCTCATCACCTGCAAAGGAAGATCAAATAACTCGTGAAGCACAAATGCTCAAGGTGTAGAAAAGACTCGCCTCTCGGAGAGTTTCTTCGGTGGTGTCACGAGACAATCGCCCAACAAACAGAGTACGATAGGGATCTCCCAGAGCTTTGGCGTCGCCAGTAGGATCATCTGCGTGAAAAACACTTCCGCATCAAGAGAGGCGGGAGAGAAAATAAGTTAAAGTACTCACAGAGGCCAGTGGTCCTGGCGATCATAGCCCGGTAGATGCCATTGTCGTGAGGGACAATGTCCGTGCCATCGATGCTGCCAGCCTGAATGGGATGATACACAGTCGCGTAGAACACCTCGCTCGTCCGTGGCGCCATTGCGCCCAGCCCTAAAATCCACTCTGGAATTTGTGGAAAACCCTCTTCAAGTGTACCATCGAGAAAGGCTCTGTGATGCAAAGAGCAAGCCATGCTAGCAAGCAAGAGACCATGGCGACAGATGTGGCTGTAATAGCCACATTGGATGAAATAGCACCTGATTAGTGATGTAAAATTTTATTTTTATTATAAATCACTTTTTTCTTACTTGATTTTCATTAGTACAACATGACAGAAAGATATTCTTATCTAAGACTAGAGAAATGCTAAGTTGGTTTTTACCAGTGCTGGGATTTTAAAGCACACAGCTTATCATGCAATTGAAACCGCATGTGTAGGTAATTACCCTGCATTACTATTGAAGCAAGGAGAAGATCTCTTCCACTCCAAGCAGGGCATAGAAGGGGATGGCACTCTGTGATGGCCTCTTTTCCTGCTATAACTATTTTGTTCTTGCGTTTCAGCTGAGAAAAAACAATTCGTGCTTCACTATCAAATCAAGAGGAGCTGCTGTTAGCGGTGATCGAAGCTGGTGTGGAGCTCCTCACCATCCTCGGAGCACCAAAAATCCCCAGTGCAATTTTGCGGTGACTGAGACGTCTTACTCTGTCAATGAAATTGGATGGGGCTATGTGATGGCCTGTTTTCATGCTTCACTATTTCAGTCTTGCGTCTTGTCCGTGCTTCGTTATTAAATCAAGAGGAGCTGGTGAGGTTGTCGAAGCTTGCTCTCCATCCTCGGAGCAAGGAATCACTAGTATTAGTATGTATG